CTTCTATAATCGTTTTACAAAGTAAAATATATCTCTTCTGTTTACATAATAACAGTGATAACAGTTTGCAGTACAGTATTCACAATCTTTGAGATACTTGTGCAATAGGAGAATACAGTGACCGAGATTGCGCGTGCGGTGTAAGAATATCCACTACCCAATATCATTCTGTGGCTGTCGTAAAAGGCGACAGAGGGAAACAAATCAGGAGATGGACAGCAGCGTCTTCCTAATAACGACTAAAAATAAAAAAACAGCGGTTGCCAACCCGCTTGCCAAGCGTGACAACTATGGCAAATATCCCCGTATAAGGTAATCTATGGGGGAGGCCAATGTTCAACAGTGAACTTTAATAGGCTGTAACGGTATATATAACACAACAGGAAACCGGTAACCGTCAAAGGGAATATTAGTAATTTTAAAAACATTGCTCGCGTATATTTATTTAATTTTAAAAAAAGAATACTTCGGACATGTGTAAATACGCAGCAATGATCGCTCGACACGATATCTATACAAATAAATAAAATTGAAGTGTCTGTTTGTAATGTCAAAATTACAGTTTTTTACTAAATGCATATGAAAGTAAATACGATACCTATAACGAAAATACAATTTTTAAAATTTTTGTCTGTCTGTCTGTCTGTCTGTTTGTTCCGGGTAATCTCCGAAACGGCTGGACCGATTTTGACAGGACTTTCACTGGCAGATAGCTGATTTCATAAGGAGTAACATAGGCTACTTTTATTTTAGAAAAAGAATCAGGGTTCCGCGCAGAAACATAAAAACCCTAACACGCGAACGAAGTCGCGGGGAACATCTAGTCTTGAATAAAATTGTCATTTATCTAACAGGAAACAAAAGGGTTAAAAAGATCAATCGAAATATTTCAATATATATACACATGGATCAGATAAGCCCGCTTCTATTTACTGATACGATGAACCAGGCGATGAGTTCCATATTACAGTGTATTAGAGCTCAAAATATACATTTATTAAATTAAATTTGCTACAAGTTACTAACGATAGTCGCCGACGGGACATAGCGTTCATTCATGAATTCCGAGTTCTTTCCGATCGGCTTGACTCACTGGCACTGCGTAGAGATGTTGCATCTCTTTGCGTATTTTATCGCATTTACCACGGGGAGTGCTCTGAGGAATTGTTCGGACTAATTCCAGCCGCTCAATTTCACCATCGCACATCGAGACAAAACTTGCGATACCATCCATACCATCTGGATGATTGGCGGTCCACCGCTGTGCGATTTAGAAGATGTTTTCTTCCTCGCACAACTTCCTTGTGGAATCGATTACCACCAGCGATTTTTCCGGACCGATACGACTTAGGGACCTTCAAGAAAAGAACCTACTCCTTTTTAAAAGGCCGGCAACGCATCTGAAATTCCCCTGGTTCCCCTGGTGTTACAGTTGTTCATGGGCGGCGGTAGTCACTTACCATCAGGTGAGCCGCATGCTCGTTTGCCCCCTCACCTTTAAAAAAAAACAAATTCATAGAACATACTTGATGTCCGAATTGAGGGTAAACAGCTATGTAATCCGTGATCTTTGCATAATGCTTTACGTAACAACGATTTAATGATTAATGCCCAAATAATCAAACACTACTCAACTTTAAGATGCCGTCAAGTCTCGTGCTGTCTCTATCACTTTAAGTCAAAGTGACCGTGACACCACAAGACATTAGGTCTTAAAATTATCACATCTTAAAATTATGTAGGGTTTGGTTATTTTGGCCATATGACAGTTACATCACATGAGTAAGTTCTTTAATGATCTGGTTACAGAATCACTTATCAACAACATTTTTTATGTATTAACTACGTATTGTATATCAGTAATTGTCTTTGTATGCGGCCTCGTACAGGCGAACGAAGTATATTGCGTCCCACATTAGATGGATGGACCTGGTCTGGTGGTTTTATAAAAAGTTTTTGACAGAACTTATGACCTGACTAAGTATATATAGAAGCTCAAGGTCGCTCAGCGACCTATGGAGAGGGCTATGCTCGGAGTTTCTCTGCGTGATAAACTTAGATGAGGGTATCCGCAGTAGAACCAGGGTGACCGACATAGCCCAACGGCTTAGTAAGCTGAAGTGGCAGTGGGCCGGCCATATAGCTCGAAGAATCGACAACCGATGGGGAAGAAAGGTTCTTGAGTGGCAGCCTCGTACCGGTAGGCGAAGTGTAGGGCGACACCCCACGAGATGGAGTGACGATCTGGTAAGACATGCAGGAAGTCGATGGATGCAGGTGGCTCAGGACCGTGCTTTGTGGCATTCCTTGGGGAAGGCCTATGTTCAGCAGTGGACTTGTGAAGAGCTGTAATGATGATGATGATGATGAATTGTCTTCGCGTCTCTCATATCGTATTTTACCGATCAACTAGATACGTTTATCAAAGGAATTAATCAAATGGTTTTAAATGACTGTAGTAATTGAACGACAGCTCACTATAGTATAAAATATAATTTTTTGTGTTAACAAACTAATCATTTTTTATATTTTAATATGGATCGTATCTTTCATTGCGTCATTATTTCATCGAATTAGTGCAATAGGGGTTGAATTTAATATATACAATAAATAGTACCCTTTTTTGTTTTATAAAAGATTTATTAAAATCAGATTTTCTGGTGAAATAAAAAGAATACTAAATTTTAAAATTTGTTCTTATAATCACCTAATTAATAGAATTTGGCGTTACTTTGCGGAAATCCGCATATAATATACGCGAGACGTAATATTATTTTAATGGATTTTAGGTGACTACAATAAAGCGTGTAACTTAATAAAGTTATCACTATAATAATAGTCGCCTATTTTAAAAAGAACATCGGTCACGGCCCATACATGCTGTGACCTGGCTATAAAATATCGCGAACATGACTAGTGTATGGATTAATCCGTTCCCCCTGGGCGCAATTTAAATCCTAAATTGAAAATATATTATTTAAAAGTCGAGGATCATAGAACGTTACACTTATGTATTTCGTCACTTTTGTCACACGTCAATCATGACTGCAGCCATGACTACAACCTCAGCTAAAACAATTGATATGAAAACTATGCAGTAGTATATACTTAACTAAATAAGTCAAGTCAATGGCTACAACTACAAAAATGAATCAATAACCTTTCTAATCTTTTCACTGCTAAAAATCTAAGACACTGGTGCATTTACTTTTCACGCTTGGACAGCTCTCCTGTCATAATACCACAGACTGCATAGATACACTCATAATACGTTCCGTTCTAAGTATTAGTGCATACTACATTTACTGTCAACCTATCATTTGCACCTTATTTCTGAATATTTTCCATCTAAAAATGATATTATATAAAAAAAAATAAAAAACCTATAATAAAATCTAGTATTTAAAAAAGTTAACGCATAATGGTAGTGTTACTTTAGTGTTATGATGAAACTTGTACCACAAATTAAAACGGAACGGGTTTAGAAGCGTTCAAAACCTATAAGAAGTAGTAAATAATTAAGGTTTTTCATTACAAAGGTTAATTATTTTAACGGCTCCAATAAAATAAGTTGAACCCCGTAATTTAATATACACTAAGTCACTATTTTTTGACGTATCAATCTTTGGTGGTCGTTTCATATTTTGGTCAGGTCATATTTGACCGATATACTTTAGCCGCCCTAAAATAGAATAGAATATTTTTTTATTCAATATAGATCACATGTGTAATAGGAGAATCTTATTGAAAGAATTCTTATCTTACTTCACCAATGGTTCGTAAAAAAAATCTCTGTCCTGGGAAGAACCAGCAAGAAACTCAGCGGTACTTTTTTAGTAAATTTTAGATGAATGGTTGTACAAACTATTTACAAAATTTATTTTAGAAACAGCTTGGAAGCGACCACCTCATTCCCGGGGGTTATTATCAACCATTTCATTTATATTATAATAACCATTTTTATACAATTTTTGTTTAATAAAACATTTAAACTTGGTAATAGAGAAAGTTTGTATATTTTCTGGGACTTTGTTGTAATAGCGTATACATTACCCCAAGAATGAATTACTGACTCTATGGAGTCGAGAAACTGGTATCACTAGCTCGTGTTTGTTCCTAGTGTTTACAGAGTGTGTATCACTTTTTTTACTAAAACTACCTTTGTTTATGTGAACGTACATTAAATTTTAGTAAATATACTGAGAGACCAAACTTAATATAATATGTACTTATTTCTTTAAATATTTCTCTACGAGACTCTCTCGGGTTTAGGTTGTAAATAGCTCCAATGGCCCTTTTCTGTAAAACAAAATAGTTTCTTAATCAGCCGCATTTCCCCATACGACATTCTATAGACATAACTGAAATAAACTAATCTAGCTGTCTCAACACTAGATCTAGACTTCGTGGCTGCGTAATTGCGTACAAAATTTTAACTTTAAATGTTCTTTAAAAGAAGTATTTAAATCTATATAAATGATTCTTGTACTAACAAGGACTGACACTTGATTAAAACACGGGTACTCTATACATATAAATGGCGCGTTTATATTTCGAGGATTTGTCGTTAAAGATATGATAATAGTATTTATTTTTTATCTTTTGCAAAGATATTCGAAACTTACAATCACATAATTTAATAAGCTAACGTAAACATTTCTTGTGAGATGCGTACGCGCCCAAATCATGCGAACTATAATTTTATAAACATAAAAATATAACTGTAATTTAAACTAACTAAAAAAAATAAAAATAAAAAAGTAATAAAATTACTATACTTATATGTAAGTTTAAATGAATGTGGATGTAATTATACGTGTGTGCAAGCACCTATATCAGCGTTTCTCAACCTTTTTTTTGACCAGGGACCACATCCCGCAAATTATTTCCATTAAAATAAATGCTGTACAATTGACTCGTTAAAAAGATTTTGGTATTTTATTTAATGCATTCATAAAAGCGTCAGTTAATGTGAAAAAAGTAAACACAGCACACAACACTTACCTTAAAACCTTTCTTCTATTATTCGGGTGAAGTCGTGAAGCCATTACTGGGTCTATTGCTTTAAGTTTTGCGTGAATCTCTTCATTGGTGAATTTCTTTTCGTTATCGACATCGTCTTTCAACTTTTCTTTATCGATGTCATCAGCCTTCATCTCATTCAATTCGTTAGTTTTACAAACAGGAATTTCTGTATTCGTGTCGCTTACGTCTGTAGCATGTTTTTTTGGTTGCAGCTCATCACTTTCTTCAACATCGTCAAAATCTCGTTTTCTTTTACTTTTATCCCATAAAAGAGCATCAGAGTCGTTCATATCCTCAACAAGAATTTTGTATACGATCGATTCGATGTAGTAATTTGTGCCGCCAACAATTATCGGAACTTTGCCTCTTTCAGTTAAATTTTGTATCTGATATGTTGTCATTAAGGTAACTGTTGTTTAAATGCCGTGTAGTAAAGACACAAGAGAGTTCACTGTCCTATATCATGCGGTGGATGTCCTAAAGTAAAGTAAAGTTACAGCCTATATACGTCCCACTGCTGGATACAGGCCTCCTCTCACTTGCTAAGCGAGGCAAGTATGGTAAATGGTAGGAAGTATTTTTGAGGAGATCTGTAAGGGAGGGCTATGTTCAACAGTGGCTTTCTTATTGGCTGTAATAAATAATAATTGTAAATATTTACTTTCAAGTGTTATGGTAACAGAAAATGAACCCTCAATTTAATTTAATTTTTTTTATTACTCAAATAACATGACTTCTATCTCACAATATTGCCTAATAGTTCGTTTGGACAGACACCACTCTCTTCCTTCTTTTTGCTGCTAATCAGCGGAGCATCTTCTGTATTGTTTCGGTTTTACGGCTCCCTAAATATCCAGTATAGTTGCAGGTTACGAGTGTTCTTAGGGGTGACAAAGTAATCTATTGAACTCCTTGTTGACACACAGTTGAAATAATTGTTAGATGTGTCACAGGTTATCTGTATATAGGAATGCTGGAATTATTTACCACCATATTATGATGGTAAGCTTTGTCTATTGATTAAAAATGAAACCTGCTGGTCTGCTAAACAAAACAAAAAAAAACGTTTTAATGGATATGTGAGGTCTGAAACCCACTTAAGCAACGTGAGCTCTTGTTACACTATTACTTAATACATCTATGAAAATATTGACATATTAATGACAGGCGATCCTCCCCGGCTCGCTTGATCTCGACAACAACGCCACCTACCGGGTCCAATTGTGAATCTAAACCATTCTCTAATCAACTTAATCACACGCACAATATTTCATCAAAATCGGTCCAGCCGTTTAGGAGGAGTTCAGTCACATAACACACGGACAGAAGAATTATATAAAGTATAATATGCATGTATTATACATATAAACCTTCCTTTTGAATCATTCAATCAACTGATGTAAACGGCATCGAAATCGGTTGCGTAGTTTAAAAGATCAAAAGCGTACAGACGGCGGGAAGCAACTTTATTTTATTACTATGTAGAGATAAGTTAAATTGGGTGAAACTGACAATACAGATAATAGAAATTTTAGTAATTATATACCTAAACACTTCGATAGGATTTTTTTAGTTGTTTTACTTCTGTGTGGTATATGATAACTACATAAAATCGGTGTCAAAGTAAAATTTAGGGCAATTAGTAGACAGCTTATGAACATAGCCCAGCACTTAAGCGGATTATACGCTAAATGACCAAGCCTTAGTCTTTTGAAAGGTGATCGCGTCATATGTTCGATTTATAACAGTATTCATTTCTTACACTATCTTTTAGTGACAAACATATTTTACGTGGTAGAGCCATACTGCAGCTATATTATAGTTGCATCACGAATGGTTCGGCGTCACCTGGTCCCTTTTACTAGAAACGAGGCATTCGGATTCCTCGGGAGTGATATATGCATTTTGATTCTTAATCGAAGGTGGATATGAGCCACAGAAAACACCCTTACTCCATGAAAAACATTTTACGTTCACTTGACGGTAAGTGGCTACCGCATCCTGGGGACTAAGCTGAAATCCCTCCTGCTATCCTGTTATTATACTGGTTCTACGATCATCAAATCAGAACACACCAGGGAGTGAAGTGCTGCTTCACAGCAAAAGTAGGCACCAGCCCAGACCAAACTTAACCACGTTAAACGTTTTTCCTCATATTGGAACTACTACGTATTCTTCTACCGACTTCAAACAGGAGGAGGTACTCAATTCGACTGTATGTTTTTATGTGTGTTACCTCATAACTTTTTTCTGGGTGAACCGATTTTGATGATTCTTTTATTATTTTTAAGCTGGTGCTTCTCATGTAGTCCCATAAAATCAAGGTCTGAATAAATAGTTTTTGAGCTATTCTTAATAATTTTTATTAAAGTCGGTTGTACAATTTTTTTAATTTTTAATTTCTTTATAATTGAAGTAACAAACGAACTCACAGTCTATCTCATGGTAAGTGGCTACTGCAACACATAGACCCTTTTAATTCAAATACAGAAGGTTACAGATGCGATGTCATCTCTCAGGTCTAAGTTAGAATTCCACACAGCCTCTAATTAAACTGGCTATGTATAGTCTTCAGACGAGAACATAGCAGTGCACGCATTGGTGCTAGGCGATAGAAACATGTAAGAGGCTTGTACCTACCTAGATGAACTCCTGGGCAGAAAAAGAGCAAAGCAAATTTAAAAAAGTCAATTTCTTAAAAAGATGTTTTAAATAACGCATTCTTATAAAGGACAATATCCAGTAATGGTATTATGAAAGGAATTATTCCTTTTTTTTATAGAAGAGAGGGTAAACGAGCATGCAGCTCGCCTGATGGTAAGTGTATAGTAGTGAGCCGCCCATGAACAACTCTAGCACCAGGAAATCGTTGATGTGTTGCCGGCCTTTTTAAGGGGTAAGCTCGCTTTTGAAGGTCCATCAGTCGTATTTGTTTGGATAAATCACCGGTGGTAAACGATTCCACAAAGAAGTCGTGCGAAGAAAAAAGACTCCTAGTAAATCGCACAGTGGTGGACCGCCAAGCATCCAGGTGGTGTGCATGGTATCGTGAATTTTGTCGCAATGTGAGTACTCGTAAATGCGATGTATTTTGATTTAGAAAATTTTATTAAAAAAAATATAAATGTTAATCACACTAAAAGGATACAAGCTTGAGAGCTCTGTTACGAAAATCGACGACAGTGAACATCTGACTCGGCTCTAAAATATCCAAGAGGTGATGCGTAACGAGTTCGCGTTCTTGACGACTTGCTTTGGCGGTGACGATGTCTAGGCCTTTGTAAATCTGAAACAATTTTTTTTTTTCAATTGGATAAATGTTCACAGATATTACACGTTAACGTTGGTTCGGATTTTATTCGGAGTCAAACAGAAATTAGGCATTCAAGTCCATATCGGTGGTGAATGTCCTGTGAAAATTTATAAAAAAATTGAATGAGTTTTTTTTCACCAATGCGCCTGCCCAGTGGGGCGACTAAAGGCAAATCTACCAAGAAGTGTATGCCATGTGTTCCAGTTTTAGAACGGCCTACCTCTAGCAGTAGGCTTAAAAGAGCTGAGGATGAATGATGATCAATTACCCGTACCGCGTTTTTCCTCGTGATCAATTAAAAAAAAAATCTAAAATGTTTATTTAACCCTTAAGTTGATAATCTCAGAATCATTTTACAAAAAGTTTTTATTTTTTTTAAAAGTTAAATTTGATTTTTCTATTGTCGTTTTATGTTTTTTTTAAATATTTTTCGATAGCATATTTATAGGTAAGTAAATTACGACTGGTTTGATAATGTGCAATTATAGATATAAACAAAATTTCCTACTGAAGAATTTGTTTGGTACGTAGAGTACTACGATTGTCAATGTCTCAATATAAAGTTTAATATAAAATTAACAAAACTTTTCATTTTATTACCAATCCAAAATACATGGTTATAGGGTTAATAACATAACATAGGTTAACAATATAACAGAGGTTGCGAATACCCAGTAAGTATAAATTAAATACTTGTGTCAAGCAGCCCTGCTCTTTCGTAACACTCATACTCATATCATACTAAATAATGATTAGTTTACTTTTGCTGCACTACCTCCCATATGTATATCTCTGCTTAGCCTAATGGTTGACTGGGAGAGAATGCCTTAAGGCATTAAATCCGCCATATGTACGATTTTTCTTTTGTGCATAAAAGTTTAAATAAATAAATGAAACGTGTACTTGCGTATACTTAAAGTGAATTTTATTGCTAAGATTAATTGAAATTATTCAAAACTCCCAACCATTACAGGCGATGCAGCCACAAAGTTATCTTAACAACATAAGATGTAACCAAAACATTAGTAAAAAAGCGGGACTTATCAGCGACGTAAGAACAAGGTGACACTTTTATCTCTGCCCGAAGTGTAACGGAAGGGGTTTGTGTTGTGCAACCTAAAGCTTGACCCCTGAGATACGCTATCAGGCGACATTAAGAATTTTGGATGTTTTATTGGGTTCATTTGCGTAGAACAGATAATGGCAGCCGAGATGACATTCAAGCGGTCAACGCGAATGTTCCAGTTATCAAATTTAACCAATTTTCAACCTTATTCCTTTGTAAATGGATGCGTAATGCACGTTTTTATTAATAACTGGCGTTCTTATCTCTTCGACGGTATTAGTATTGTGTTTTCTATTTGGAAGGAAGTATAATTGTCAGGAAACTTATTACTGTCGTATTTCTTTTACCTTTCACCTATTACTAAATCTGCATGATCTGGTTCAACGCGGACGATGTTTTCTCTTCAATCAATTCGATTTCTCCACAATCTACTTCATTTACAGCGCTCTAGTTTAGTTATTTAGTGTATAAGATCGATCAATGCGTTTGCTTTAATAGAGACAATAGTGATTCGTCCATTAGTTTCGTAATCCGTGGCTGGTTTTCTTCAATTATTTACACACAAGCAACTATTTATTGTTAAAATAACGTCAACGTTGCGACGGTCGTAGGTAGGTGGCGAAAATACTAAGGAGAAACGAGTAGGGAACAAAAGAACCGTTGATATAGATCTCTAATTCTCCCTCTTTATCAGCTCATAATAGTCGACGCGGAACATAGACCTTTTTTATATTACACAGTCCACCTGATGGTAAGTGGTTGCTGCGGCCCATAGACATCTACATCTATCCTCGTATACGAATTAAAATGCAGATGCGTTGTCAGTCGTGATAAGATGGAATGCCTCTTTTCCAGTAAAAAAGGATCTCCGGTTCTCTACACTCACCATACGAAACACAGCAGCATTAAGCCGCTATTTTACGCTGGTATTCTGTGAGAGAGTTCTACAGTTTACCTTTCTAACTGTAGGGTGGATTTGCTATGATTCTTGGCATTCAGTTTTTCAACAGACGGTACAGACAGGACAGTAGGACCTATTACCGTTACCGTTACAGGCTATTAAAGTCCACTGCTGAACATAGGCCTCCACTATAGATTGCCTCATAGGAGGGATATATGACATAGTGACAGCGGTCGGCAAGCGGGTCCGCAACCGCTGTTTTTATTTTTTTAGTCGTTATTAGGAAGACGCTGCTGCCCTTCTACTGGCTGGTTTCACAGGTTGTTCCATCTTAGGATCTATTAATTTGGCGTTACTTAGACTTAGATTATCAAAGATCATATTTATTCTATTAATTTCTCGTCATTTTTTAAATAATTCTCCAAGTTTTTGCGGATAAAATACAGCCTAGATCACTCCTAACAATGCTCTAAACCTGTTCGTAAAGTTTCATTACAATCTGTTAAGCCATTACAACAGACACAAATTTTAAAATGGTTATACTCGTACAACATGTCTTAATGGTATGCAAATAACCCCCGTCGGCTCAATATAAGGCAGCTATTTTGTAATTATAAACACTTCAATTTTATTTATATGTACAGTTATAAGGTTTACCTGGTAAGACTTGCTGGAAGTCAATTGATGCAGGTGGCTCAGGACCGTGCTTTGTGGCATAACTTGGGGGAGGCCTATGTTCAGCAGTGGACTTGTAAAGGGATGTAATGATGATGATGATAATGATAAACAGTTATAATAGATAGTTATATCCCCATCAATCGGAGGGCATTAAATCTTCCTGATATTTCCCACAGTCACCTCTTACAACACCTAAAAACGGCAAGCGATGGTGCTTCTAAGAGTTTTTAATTGAGAACAATAATTTAACCAAAAAATAAATAAATAACATTTAATGACCCCTCAACTAACCTCTTAATACTTTCATTGTTCGATTTGCAGACATAGTAGTAAGACAATAGAAATGACCCATATGTGGGTCACTGGATAGGGAAAGGGTAAAGTCCGAAATTCAATTTTAAATTTTAATTTTTTTACGTCATTATTGTGGTAACATCATTTTAAAATTATGTCAAATTTAAATTATCCTCGTAAAACATTCTATGGAAAAACATTATGTTACAGACGAACAGGCAGACACACCCAGATAACCATAGTAAAAGTATCACTTTCGTCGCTGTTTTCGTCTTTTAACATGCTTTTATTGACTTAACCTGTTTGTATGTATGTTTTTACGTGATTGAAATGTTTATTCAGTTTTCAGATTATTAGTTTTTTATTTGATTTATTAACTCTTTCCCTGTCACGTGACCCACATATGGGTCATTGCTATTGTCTTACTATAGTGTCTGCAAACCAGACAGTGAAAGTGTTAAGTACCGGTGACAATATCAATAATTTACCAGACTATGACCTAGTATTCTCACCATGCTTGTTTTCAACAGTCTTTTTTTAAATTAATGAAATAACAATGAAATGATAAAGTCGTTTGTCAAATGACAACATGTTTTTTTTTATCTACTACCATTTCAAAACGGGGTTCCACTGCCCGAAAAAGGCACGGCGTAAGAAACGCCGCACGTACGAGTATCCTCTTTTATGTCATTTTTTTAATATTCTGATCAAAAATAAAATGGAATAGAAAATAATAATCAAATGCTGCCCGTTAATCTCGCTAAAAGTCGAAATGATCTATTTCGAAATATTTCGTGTGCGTTTAAGCGGGTCCCTGGATGGTTTAGATTCACAATTGTAACCAGCAGGTGACGCTGTGGTCGCGCTCCATAAATCACCCGTGCGAAGCCAGGGCGGATCGCTAGTATGTAATAAAAACTATACCACAAAAAAAAGCTTAATAATGTGTTGCAAGCTTCACCTTATAATATTTCAACTTATTTCCATCCTAAAAGATGAATCACTTAATCGCAAATTTTAATCCAACCCACATACGCCAAAAATAGGGCGACGAAGTCAAAACTTTTGTAATTATCTTAATATATTCGTTTAATCTCGTCCCCCAGTTTCTAAGGCGGCGATTTATGAATATGCATGAACCTGTCGTTGGCATTGTTCACGTGGTGTTCTCGACTCCCGCTGGCCCTGTTGCATACATTTCATACGTTTTACGCGCATTTTCATAATTGACACATCGCCTTACTTAACCAGGACGCTCTTTGTTAGGCCCACGGATGCGCGCGTTTCACATGTTAACATTACCTTCGATAAACAAATATCAAGGTGAGTAGGCAATTAAATGAAATCTCTTTAGTTTTCGACGCAAGAATTTTTTTTATAGAATAAGTGTGACAAACAAGCACATAGTCCACCTGATGGCAAGTTCATGCTGTTTCCCATAGACATCTATATCTATCCTCGGTTAAGAATCAAATTGCAGATGCGTTGCCACCTCTGATGACTAAGATGCAATGTCTCGTATCCAATAAAAGAAGACTCCGGTTCTCTATACTTACTTGAAACACAGCAGTATTAAGCTGTTATTTTACGCTAGTGTTCATTTGCTTGTTTTACTTTTCCTTATCAGCTCGTAATAATCTTCCACTAGAAGACTTGCTGTAAGGCCTGGACAAGTCAAAAAGACCCATGGGATCCGCCAGATGCGATCGACGGCGTAACATCTATTATTATATTATTTTAGGTTTCGACGCACTTTATTAGCTTAATTATGAGCTTCAACTTGATCTTATATTGTTGAATTTTTTTATATTGTTGAAAATTGAACATGTTATATTTGTCTGATGCCTGAGTATGCTCGGTCCTATTTCTTTTTAAAAATTGATTAATTGTATGACTTTAAAAAAAAGGTGAAAGAGGGGATACTTGCAGAGTTGCTTTCGTTGTTTCTATGTCGATCAGATGGATCTCATTTTAAAACTGTAACAGTTACGCAACGTCCTACAAACGTGTTTACATGGCAAAGATCTATGGTGCAGCTATATCATGGTCGGTAGTACTAATAGGCTACAACCATGATATAGCTCAACCTCGACCTGAGCTCGACCGGGGTAGCACCACGCTGTCACATAATACCAGCGTAAAGTAGCAGCTTAATGCTGCTGTGTTTCTTATTGTGAGTGCAGAGAACCGGACACCTTTTTACTGGAAACGAGGCATTCTTAGTCCTCAGGGGCGACAACGCATCTGCACTTCGATTCTTAATAAAAGATAAATGTAGACGTCTACGGGCCATAGCGTCCACTTACCGTCAGGACGACTGTGTGCTCGTTTGTCACTCTTATTCTATAATTTCTTTATATAATATTTTGTAATAAATTGACCCATGATATCAGCAGAAAAAAATCATATCGCTAATCCTTCGTTATATTTTAAGGTTCGATAATAGGAAATGTTATTCGACTTTTTGATTAAAGAGACTGACAAGTATTATTAGCAACATAAATTGTGAAAATAACAAACTAATATAACCAAAGACAACGCAAAACAAGGAACTGCGCAGTTTCTCCTAAAAAAAATTCTTTGTCTCGTTTCTTTTGGATCTGCGCCATGCTAAATCCGCCTGCATATACTTTGATCTTCACATAATATTCACCTCTAGACACCTTGACCGACGTATCTGCGTGACCTATTGCGGTAGGATGGTTCGCGTGTTCAGTCTACCGTGACATCTGACCGCGAGCCGCTCGTTTCCGAAACGAGGTCTTTGATAATTGGCCTTCGTTTAGGTCCCCAACAAGCGTTGATCTCTACACCGTTGCTATTTTATGCGTGTATAGGTCTTACAAGAATGGATGTTCATTTCGAATTCAGCCAAAATGCATAGACACTGTAATGAGTGTTGTGTAGCTGATAACAGGGTTTGTATTAATTGGACGCCTTGTATCTAAATGTAAATATTTGAGCAGGCCGACGATGTATAAATGTTTTTTTTTTCAATTGTTCATTTATTGAAAAATATTGAATATTATGTAAATTCTTTTTTTTAGAATAAGAGTGACAAACGAACCTTGTGTTTGTGTATTATATAATGAAATATATGTATGATATTACATAAGATTTTTTTTAGTCCGACAACTTATAACTTATATAAACAATGCTTATCTGTATTTGTTCTTTAGTCTCATATTTTTAAAGTAAAACAAGTTCGATTCGATCATTTCTTCGTTAATTCAGTTAAAACATATTGTCAACAATAAAACAAAAATATTACTGACGGCTACTTTAAAAGCTCCAAGCATACGCTCGCTTTCTTTTAAACATGAGGATTACCCTCCCTTTCCTCACACTTGTTCCGTGCGGGATTCAAATGTGAGACGCACCCGAGCTAGATTGAGCGACGGTAGCTGGTTGGAACTGGATGCATAAAGAACCGGGCTAAATAGCGCACTTGGGAGAGGCCATCTCCGCAAACTGATAATAACGATAATGCTAAAGTCAAAAGCGATTACGTCTTACACAACCTCGACGCCTGAAATTAGTTTCGCTTAGAACTTACATCACTGTTCAGTACGTTTATTGAGTGCAAGCAAATCTATACCTATACAAGTAAGCAAAATTGAAGTGTCTGTTTGTAATCTCACAATAACAGCTTTGTACTAAATGCTTAAAACAGTATATACGGTATAATAAAAAAAACCTATTTAAAATTTTTGACTGTTTGTTTAATTTGTAAAATGTCAGTCTAATCTTCGAAATGGCTGGGCCAATTTTGACGGGAATTTCACTGGTAGATAGCTGATGTTATAATAAATAGCGTAAGCTACTTTTATTTTAGAAAAAGAATTATCTTTTCGCGCAAAAAAAATTAAAACCCATGAAATCCGATCGCAATAAATTCCACGGGTACCAATAGGTAAGTTGCGGGGAACAGCAATTATTTTTTAAAGTGGTACTTAAATGCGACATATAATACCTTGAGATTGATAAAGGGATAGAATTACTATCATCACCAATAAGATGCGTGCGTGATTTTAAAGATCGCTCTGTAATACTAAGAAGCACTAAAGTTCAAACCGACGCCTTCCATACAAGAATTTAATATACAAAAAGTGAACGTCAATAATTTAAAATAGGAATTGACACTTTGTTTTATCTTATGTAACAGGCAAAGATATTTATTTATTCAGCCTAGGACGCAACGGCAGTAACATCTCTTATGTAAAGTTTAAATATAATAGGTACAATAAGTTAATTTACATATTAACTAGTGCAACGAAAGCAAGCACGTGTGCAATGCAATAAAAAATAAAGATATTTATTACGTTAGTTAATTCCTAATTTAGAATTAAATATATAAAAAGCTACGTTCGTAAAAACGCTGTACCCATTTAAATAATATTTCACTACATAATATGGTAATTAGTGGTAACAATAAATATTATCAAACACGGAAAAAGTTATGGAAATATATAATAACAAAGAGGGCATAGTCGATTTAACGATGGGGAAAATACACACCATAACAAACTAATTTGCAATTCAAAAAATTCCATTATTTTTATACAACGCAAACTTATATACTTGTTACCACTCTTTAAAGATAATAAATAAATTAAAAAGTACCGAGGTAGCTCAGATGGTTAGCGTCAATTAAATTGTTAACTGCGATTTTAAGTGCTTATTTACCACGTGCTCGTCGGTGTAGGTAAATATCGTGAGGAAACCTGCATGTCTGAGAAATAAGAAAAAAAAATTCGAAGATATATGAAGTTCGTTAACATGCATTGGGGCAGCGCGGCGAACACTTCATTACCCTAAAACGCTCTCAGAAATTAGAAGGCGTGTGCCTAGCAGTGGGACGTATATAGGCTGTGACTTTCACTTTTAACTTTAAATAAATTAAATAGAACGAGCGCGTATAAGAAAGCGTGGTCATTCAGCCAGCTATGGAGAGGCCTATGCTTGGAGTTTAGACTTTAGTTTCTCAACGTGATCGAATCAGCGACGAGGTTATTCGTGACGAGATGAACTGACACAGCTCGGCGGAGCGGTCTGAAGTATGGTCGAAGAACTGACAACTGACGAGGAAGACTTGTTTTTGAATAAAAGATTTGTATTGACAACCAGCGGTTACACCTTTTCTCCATTCATCCATACAGCCTATAAAAGTCCACTACGGAACATAGGCCTTTGAGATAGATTGCCTCGTATAGGGAGGATTTTGCCAGTTTCCACGCTTGACAGGTGAGTTTTTTTTCATATATTATGGGTGATAATAGACA